GAGCCTCTTTCTGCTCTGAGCCCCTCGGACCTTGCGGCCGGAGCCTTTCCCTGCTTTCCCCTAGCGCCTTCCCTGCCTTCCCCTAGCCCCTTTCCCTGCCTTCCCCTAGCCCTTTTCCCTGCCTTTCCCTAGCCCCTTTCCCCTGCCTTCCCCTAGCCCCTTTCCCTGCCTTCCCCTAGCCCCTTTCCCTGCCTTCCCCTAGCCCTTTTCCCTGCCTTCCCCTAGCCCTTTTCCCTGCCTTTCCCTAGCCCTTTTCCCTGCCTTTCCCTGGCCCTTTTCCTGCCTTTCCCTAGCCCTTTTCCCTGCCTTTCCCTAGCCCTTTTCCCTGCCTTTCCCTGGCCCTTTTCCTGCCTTTCCCTAGCCCTTTTCCCTGCCTTTCCCTAGCCCTTTCCCTGTTCTCCCTGTGCAAAGCATCCGTTTTTGTCTGGAATCGCTGGAGCTCTCACCCCTGTGAGTGATGAGCACTCTGTACCTGCCCAGGGCACCCTCTGTGTGCTGTCAGGGTGTTTGGGCTCCCTGTCTGGTATCTAATTTACCACGAGGAACTGGAGCAGCTTAAAATGCTTGCAAGACATCAGAGGGGTTTTGTCCTGGCAGCTGTCACTAGCACATAATTTGTCCATCTCAATGAATTTTTCTATCTTCAAGGAAACGAGACAACCTCGTGAGGTGCTGTGGCTTTATGGCCCCTTAAGATCCAGTATGCTGCCATGGGATGGGTTTTAATAATTTTCCCCCCACCGTTCCCTATGATCTGGGTACTTCATCCCATAAATACAGGTTCTGTTTTCTGTCTGGCACCTGCCTGTTCACTGCATGCTGATGGCTGCTGGATTTGATCTTGTGTTGTTGCTCTTGATGTTCTTGCTTTTAAGTTTTTGGTTAGTATCCTCAGCTTGGTTTGGTGGCTTTTCTTATGCTCTTTTATGCCATTAATAAAAAGCCATCACATAGTATCTGCTCACTTTTAAAAATGAGCTGTAACTTTTTATTTCTCGTAGACATGTTTTATTTTCTAGGGAGTGTGTTTACAGCAACTCTGAAAACAAAAATTGCCAACTGATGTTTTAGAACTAGAGGTATGTCTGCAGTTAGGATTGAGGTAGTGCTGCAGAATTTAAACCTTTAAATAATGTTTATTTGGAATAAAACTTCTTAGTCTTATCAGAGGTTCCTCTCTTTAGCACTAGTGGTTTTGAGTTTGACATGGAGTGTCAGTAATTTCACCTCCAGCATTAATCTGACAAATGAAAAACTGTCTCTTATTCAGTATTTCCTGGGTCAGCTGAAACACTCCATAGTCCTTTCACTCCTCCCCTTTCTGGGAAAGGGAAACTGATCCTCACTTGAGTTTCATTTCAGCAAGTCGTTGTATTTTTAGACTATAAATAGGCAGATAAAGCTTTCTACTTCATGTGCTCTTAAAGGAGTTTAATAGTAAGCTTTTTTAATAAGCATGAAGATATTAAAATAACCACCCCAAAAGACAAATAGCTTCTCTGTGCACATAGGTCTGGGAAAGGTCCCAGGTATTTTGGGTGGAATAGTTGGAATACTGAAGGGAAGAGGCAGGGATTTTCTTCAAAGTGTTTTGCACTGTTTGAGGGCATGTTACCAACTTTCTTTTGTCCATGGCACAAGTTTTAATGCCTCCAGAACACTCAGGTTATTCTTATTGAATGTGTTTCTTCTTCAGATATTATTTTTTTTATCTTAGAGCAGCTCTGGATTGTGACAGCTGTAAAAGCAAGGACCATTTTTTGCCTTTTCCAGCTTTGCTTTACAAAGGAGGATGTTGTCCCTGAGACTTATGGCCCTTGGAATTTTGTTCTGCATTTTTCAAGAGGAATTCTTCCTTCAGTGATGAATGTGTAGTCACCTCTGTCTGACAGTGCCTGAAAACTTGTAAGGGCGGTGAGAATGAATGCAAAAAGAAACAGCAAATCATCTGCTATCTGTTTATACCTTTATAGCCTGTTCAGGGCATGAATCAGTCTCAAAACTCGTTCCTACTTCTGCTTATTTTACACTAATTCTCATTCTTCTCCCCTCAGCCTGGATGGTTTTCTTTCTGGCTGAAGCTGAGAATGTTTTTATGCAGTTGTGAGGTTAGAGTTTTTTATTATTTCACTATGCACTCTCAAAACCAGCTTAAAATCCTACTTTTGCTTTTGCATTTCGCATGTGCCTTTGCAAATACTCAGTGTTCATGGCCTGAAGTTCCTGCAGGTGTGTGTTTCCAGCTCTCTTGCATTTCAGTGCCTTTGACTTCTAGAGTGAGCTTTGAAAACTTCGTGGGTTTGTGTTCATTTTGAAAAATTCCCCTCCAAGGCTGCTGCAACACTTGGAGTTCATGTTCCACTGTTCTAATAACAAACCCTGCAGTTCTGCCTTCTCCTAGATCTCCATCAGTAAAAGGTTTCAATCACTCTTCTGGGATTCTGTCATCTTTCCTGTGTCTCATTCACAGTCCACATGTTCGTTCATCCCTTTGGGTTACAGCTGGTTTGCACTTCTCAGCCAAATCCTGTTTGTGTGACCCTTTCTCTGCTTCCCTCACTCTTGGCACAGCCATGCACATTCTGCCTGATGCCACATAGGTTTGGAGGGTAAAACCACTTAGGTTGTCTGTCAGTGCTGTGAGACCTGAAGGGATTTGATTTGTACATCTAAGTTTCAGCTTTGGTGTTTAGTTTGTGTTTCTAACCTGGTAGGAAAGGGAAGGTTATGTTTGTGTGGCTTAAACAGTGCAGTTTATAGAGACACAGGAATACCTGCTTGAAGGGAGGGCTGAGTTTTGCTCTCTTCCCCATCTTCTCTTTAAGGCTGTGCTCCAGAATGCCTTTTTCCTGGGTCTAGCTTCTTCCTGGGCAAGTTCCTTGCCCCATGGCATTGCATCTGTCTCTGTATCTACACTGAGTCTTCAGCTAGCCAGTTCTTTTTCCAAGTAGGACCACTGTTATTCTGTCTCACCTGACTGTGTTCAAGGATGTTATTTTAGAACCTTAAATGTAAAGACTGTCTGGAAATTGACTATTTTGTAACTGGCAACAGAATTTTAATTGATTCCACATAACAGGGCAACTGAATGGGTGACTTCTTTACTTACAAGGTGTTACAAAGTGTAGTCTGGTCCCCTGCCTTAATAATCAAGGAAGCAGTGCTCAGTGTTCACTAGAAAGTGGTTTTGTTCTCTCTCTCTGCAAGTGAGCTAAAGAAATACCAAATGAGGTTATAAAATAACTTGGGAGAGGTTTTGCTGCTTGCTTCTTCTAAGTTTCTTGTAATGCTTATTTTGCAAGAGTCTGCACATCCTGTCCCTGTTGCTCAATGTCCCTGCCCTTGCTGTGAGCTGGCTTTGAGCACTGACTGCTGTGCTTTGCTTTAGTGAGCCCTTTATTCAAGGGTATTCGTGTTCATTTTGGTGGTTTTGCCTTGACAGAACTCTTTTAAGCACTTTCATGGTTTGGGATGAGATAGTTTAGCACTCAGCAAGATTAAACCTGTCTGTGTGGCTTGTGAAGTGTAACAAAATCTCTTATCTTTGGAGTAATCCCCTGCAAAAATCAAGGAATAAAAATATCTATCTATATAATTCAGTTAAAATGCAATTTAAACTAAGTCATACTTGCAGCTTCTGTTTGCATGAAGTTCAGAGGAAGGAATGAAGCTGTTCTCTGTGATTTCTGTCTGAATGTGACATTTGGAATGCACCTAGCACATCTGGGTAGTGAGGAGAACCTGGAACTTATTTATGCGGCACCACAGGTTTCTCTCTATAGCAATTTGAATTATGAATAAGATAAAGTGAATTCAGCTGTAACTAGGTAAATCTGTCACTTGGCAACTAACAGGGATCCTGTGAGTCACTGCTGTGGGTATTCTCATTTTGTATCTATTTTTTCTTTTATTAGTGAAGTTTGGTTTCTAAATGTTCCAACTAAATGCATTTTGTTTGCAGGGGCAAAGCTCAAATTCATCATGGATACCTCGCAGGGGTTTTCAGGTAGGCATGACATAAGTTTGGTTACTTGGAGAGATGAGTAATAATGAAGATGATGATTGGAACAGAAGTCCAGTAGATTAAATATCTTATGTGACCATGTGGGTCTATTATTGTCTGCTGTCCAGATCAGCATGATGCTAAATCAGCAGTGTTGATCTTGAGCATAAAGCAAAGATGAAGATAACTTTTTGCTTAAATAATGGCTACAGGGAATAAGAATCTTGACTTCAAGGGATATTTTTGCATCTTAAACTCTACAGTTTTCAAGTCTGGCCTCTGTCTTCTCTCAGGTTTATAGTGACTCAGAGAAACACATCTTGTTTTATTGAATCTCAAAGGATTTCCAGCTAGTTCTGACCATTTCTGTAGTCAAAACCCAACTGGGATAAAAGATTTATGTATGAAAACTTTGATTGATTAGATTAGAAGGAAAAAGAGATGCTTTGGCTCGAGGAGGTGATATGAACTTTTCTTAGTCCAAAGTTGTCTTCAGGAATGCAGAGAAATAACTCTAGTAACAAACCAGCTGGTTTTGGGGTGCTGGGAGTGAGAGTGGAGAGCACATGCAGGGGAACATGTGTAAGAGATGCTGAGTTGAGTCAGTGGATTATTTTATTTTGCAGAAGATGACTTTATTCTGAGTCTCTGATCTGTCTCTTTTTTTCCTCTAGTTCAGCGGGAGGCGCAACTGGACTGCAGCTAAAGACCTGCAGAGATACAGACACAACTACCCAGTATGTGCTCAGGGAATGGTGCACCTGCTCCTAGGGCTCCTCCTCATCCCTTGCTGCCTTTAGGAACACCTTCTAGATTTGGGAACAGCCTCTTGCCTTTCCATTTACAGGCTCAGAACCTTTAAAGGGTTCATTTGTGAGGGGGAAGGGATGATGTGCATGTGGGTGCATCAGCAACAAGCTGTTATTTCCCAAAACGTGTTCCAAGGATTTAGCTTGAAATTGTTTAGGAAAGCAAGGAGAAGTGTTCAAGTGTATATTGCCTTTGAAAAGATTGCTGCTTGTTGATTTCTTCTTCTCATCTCCAGGGTTTGATAGAATCAGAAAATGAGGAGGAAGAAGAGATGTGGAACTTAAGCTTTTATAAAAATGAGATTTCTTTTAAGCCCCAGGGTGAGTACCTTGTGGGATGGCTCTTTGGTGCAGTCTGCTGCAGCTAGTTGAATTGGTGAAGGAGTAACTTCATCCATGTGGGACAATTAGTAAAAACCCAACCAACCAAAGCACACAGTCGAAACAAAAAAGCTATCAAGAATTTCCACTTTAGAATTTCCTTGTTCCTGCTGTATTTTCCTTGATTTTCTGTTTGGTGGTAGAAAACTAAGGTATTTTTCTGGCTTGCCAGAATGCTTGTCTAGTTAGAGAAGCTAATGGCTGTATGCAAATATCTGGCTCTAGGTAATCAGCCACATGGCATGACGGCTGACTTTAACTTCAATTTGGTGGCATTTCTTCTTCTTCTTGCCTGACCTTTTCCTTTTCCTTTCAGGTTTGCCAATTGAGAATCTGCTTATTACTTGGTGGGGCAACTATGAAATTCTGGAGGAAAACCATTCCTACATACAGTGGTAAGCTGTCTGCAAGAACAGAGTGCCTCTCCTCTGTTGTGCCTCTTTGAAGTGTCAGGTGGACCTGTGCTCCTGAATTCAGCTTCCCAAAAGGCCCAGAATTGCTCTTGAGTGAAACCTGTGTCCACTGTAGTTTTATTGAGTTGTTTGCATCTGGCAGCAATGCAGTGGAAATCCTGAAGACAGGGATTTCTAGTGCTGTGGCAACAGATCTCAGTCATGCTTGTCTTGGAGCACACTGCAGAACAAAGTTAGGGCAAGGAGAGAGATCCAGACAAGCCAAGTGTGCAGTTATTACTGGTGTAGACAATGCTTTTATGGGAGGGATTTATTTCTCATACAGTAAATTACTTCTGTGTCCATAAGGTTGTGAGTTCTCCAAGAGATACCTATGATATCACAAGTTTCTGAATTTATCTTTTTTAGTTTTAGCAAGATGGGTGCCCTAGGTTGGGTGTCATCTTTGCTCATCTGGGCTCAAAATTTCTCTCCCTTCAGGCTGTTCCCGTTACGTGAGCATGGGATGAACTGGCATGCCAAGCCACTCACCTACCAAGAAATCCAGGTAGTTATTTAAAGCTTTATCTCTCTCTTTTTTTTTTTTGAGATCTGAAAGATGTTAAGATTTTCCCTAAATGCCTTATATTTGAAGTCTAGTGTTTTTAGATTGCTTCCTTGGGTCCTCAGTGTGCATGGAGCTCACTGTGGAGCATTTATCTGTCGTCTCTGCCAGTAGCTCCACCAGCAAATGAAATGCTTAGTGATACAATCAAGCCTTGTTTTTAATTCAGGTGCCACTAAACAGGTAATTAGAGACTTGCACCTTGTACTCATTGCTCTTGTCTTGTTTTCAGGCCTTTAAGAATTCCCAGGAGGTTATGGAAAGGTTTATACGTGCTTATAAGCTCATGCTGGGATTTTATGGAATCACTCTGGTCAATGAAGAAACTGGAGAGCTTAAGAGAGCACAGAATTGGATTGAACGATTTGAAAACTTGAACAGGTGAGTCTCAGTTTATGCTGCTGGTCATTTCCTACAGCCAGGCACTTCTGTGAGGGGAGAAAAAAAAGTCAAAGTCAAGGAAATTCTCAGCCCTTGAGGGATAGAGACTTTTGTTGATAAAAATGTTAGCTAGCAAAAGTATTTTTAACTTTTATTCTGTTAAACAGCAAAACAGGAGTGGTTCCATGGGGTTCCCTGATTGTTTATAAAGCTGCCCTAGTGTGTGTAAACTGCTTTGAGGCCTTGTTTGAAAAGTGCTCTGCAAATGTGATGTTTTTATATTGTTGCAAGTCTTGTTGAGTAAGGACCGTTGTGGTTCTTGTACCCCTGATGATATTAACAAGGGCTCTAAAAAGACTTGGCATAGTCACAAAAGAAAAAACAACTTGAAGACTGTCAAGTATTTAAATAAAAAGGGTAAAAATAAGCTGTGTCTAGTGGAAGTCATGAACTTTTGGCAGCTCCTTGTGTGCCTGTGTTGCACTTTATGCAGATGGCAAGGGTTGCTGTAAGGGATAGGATATTGGGCTGTGTGGGCTTGTGTGTCAGACCCAGTGTGGTGGCTGTTACCTACTGGTGGGTGATTCAAAAAGTCAAAACCTTTCCAAGCAGTTGAGATGATGAATTCTAGCAGCCCAAGAAGGGCTAGGAATGTACTGCTGAAGGCAGACAGCAGAATTAGGTGCTTTTCAAGTAAGCCTGCCAGTACTTCCCTTTTGATTGTCAAATAGTCTTTAATAGATCACAGTGGGTAAATGACAAAACATTTAGCAGATACTCCAGAGGTTGTAGTGACTTGTAAGACTGTCCCTTAACAGCTTTGCTTCCCTGTTTCCTTCAGGTTCAGCCACAACAATTTGCGGATTACTCGCATCCTGAAGTGCCTGGGGGAGATGGGATATGAACACTATCAAGTGCACTTGGTAAAGTTTTTCCTGACAGAAACTCTTGTTGAGGAGACATTACCAAGTGTCAAGAGAAGTGCCTTGGATTACTTCCTGTTTACTGTCAGAAACAAACAGAAGAGGAGAGAACTAGTCCACTATGCTTGGCAACACTTCAAACCTTGCGGCAGCTTCGTGTGGGGGCCACATGACAAACTCCTGAAGTACAGACCCCGTTCTGCCAAGCCACAGCTGCACCAAAAGGCTACAGATAGACAGGAAACTGGTAAAAAATGTGATGATCCTGTGGGAAAGGATCAGGACCAGTCGCCAGAGGTTGAACAGAAAGCTGGAGATGCTGCGAACTCGCAGCCTGAAGCGAGTGATGAAGATGTAAAAGAGAAGATAAGCAAATGTGTTTTGAAGGGAGGAGATGATGAAGAGGAGAAGGATTTAAGCAGTGAGGCTGAAGAAGTGCAGGGTACAGCCGAGAGTGACTGCACAAAGGAGAGCAAGAAGAGAAAACTAGATGCAAATGTGGCAGATGCTAAAAAGGGTGGAGCATTGAAAAGCTCTGCTGATATTGAACACATTTCCCATAATCTGGGAGAATGTGCAATTGATGCAGAAATCCCCTCCTCAGGCCCACTCTTAGAAGCAGAAGAGGATCAGGAAGCACTGGAAGAAGATGATGCAGGCACCAAAGACTCAGCAATGCCAGAGGCCACTGATGCAGCTGTGAAACGGAGGAAAGTTGACAAAAAAACATTGAGAAGTAAAACATGCAATTTGGCCATAAACCTGGACACAGGGCCGTCAGCCTCTAGTGCCAAGGCAAATCCATCTGCTTCAAATGCTGAGGCTGAAAAAGAATATGTGAGTGAGAAAAGTGCAGCTGTGGAAGTGCCAAGTGAGAAGGGTGGTGGTGGTGGTGATGCACATAGTGAGGCTGTGAGACCCCCAGCTGGTTCCAGACTCCCCAGGACTGGCTGGACTTCTCCAAGTGATGGCTGTGAGTCTTGTGGAGATCAAGCCACAGCAAGGAGTGATCAGCATCACTGCAACAGCACAGTCCTGGGAGGCAAAAGTGAGGTAGATGAGGTAGAACAGCAGAAAAAGGCAGAAAATGCAGACCTAAAAGGGCAAGCAGAAGTCACAGACAAGAAAGAAGCTCCAGAGAATCTTGAGCAGAGCATAAAACCAACTTGTCCTGAAGAAGATAGTGATGAGGTTGCAACAGAAAAAGCTGAAAGCTCTGAGCATGCAGCAGAGCCTGATGGAGAGCAGGTAGCAGCAGAGTGAGAGCAGCATGGCAAGTGCCCAAGCAATGGGAGGTGACACTGCCCTGACTGCTGGGAGCCAGCCTTGGTGACTTGGATAACAGAAGTACACAGAAGAATAAGCTTCCTTTGGGACAGTCTAGGCTGGCCACTGTCTCACTTTGGTTTTTAATCATCTGTAGTAACTTCACTGAGATCCAGCCCTTGGTGACCCTAAAGAGCAAAACTCTAAGTTAGTCATCTTCACAGACAGTCCATGTCCTGTTCCTGGTTTTTATCTGATGTTCAGGGCTATCTTGGAGCAACGGGGATTTTTGCACTTTGCTTTGATTCTGCTGTGTCCCTTCTGAAAGAGATGAGGAAAACTGAGCTGTTTGCTTGTTTGAACTAAGTATTTATTAAATACAGGATTTTTAATATAAGACAGCATGACCCAATTTACCAGGCCTTTCTATTACCCTGTAACTCCTGTTTGTTATTTTGAAAGGCTGTACCTTCCCAGGAGTGTTTCCTGTCAAAATTGCTGTTTCCCTGAAAGAGTTGAGTATGTGGATTTCACATGATGTCAGAGTGTAGTTACCTCTCCTCCTATAAAGAAAGTAGGTTTGACTTTAGGCTGGGATAAAATACATAGCCAAAATCTTTTTCTGACCAGCATAAACCTTTGTGCAAAGTGCTGAGCAGTTTGTTCCCTTTATCCTCACAGAGGTTGTTTTGTAGTGCTTGTTAGAGCTGTGAAGAATATGAATTGTCTATTGGTTTATAAGAGAAAAACCTTCAGGCATAAAGCTCTCTAGAGCTGCTCTTCCCCAGGTTTTCCCACCACTTTTAGACCCTTTATAGTCTTCCAGAGATTTTCATGTCCATGACTTGGTTCAAAGGCCTTCCTCCGTTGCCAAAATAGCACAGATATTTCCCACTGCATTTTTTCAGCCTTTGCTGGTAATTTGCCTGTGGGGCTGTTTTCTGCAGGTCCATTGCGTGAGGTTAGATGTGTCAGATCCAACCCATTTCCTAGTTAGGGCAGGATTGCTTTGCCATTAATGATCAGCATGTCAGACAGTGAGGGCATGTTCAAGTGCAGCATGTCTGGAAACCACTGGGCTTTGTGGGGCAGTTAATTGAACCTTTAATTGGAGGGGGTACGCTTGTCTGGTTCATTTATTTACAGCCTTCAAGAATTCACTTTCAGACTTTGCCAACTCTTTGCCTGCCTTAGTGTTCCTGACCTCCTGTCAGCTGTTCTGCCTGACTTACACAATATTCTACTGAGTCTGAAGGAGTGTTAAACAATTTAGCACCTTCATTCCTGAAAATTTACAACAGAGGACTTGTTTCATGAAGCAGAAGAAACAGTTTTCCAACAACCAGATAGTCTGAACTTGCTGTTTGCTCAGATTGTTTGGTTTGGTTTTAGGGTTTTTCAGTGCTGTTTGGTTTGTGTAGGAGATGGCCAGAGGCCTTGCCAGAGAACAGATGCAGTTGCCTGTGCAATGTTTTTCTTCTCTGCTGCAGTTCTTGAGAAGCTTCATCTTTCAAGGAATTTGATGGGTGACTTGCCTTCCCAGACTGTAGGTCCTGATCCAGCATGCCACATACATGTGTGTGGGAATAAAAGTCTGCAAGCTTAACATCTGATGTTCATGGTCACATGTGTGCTGGAAAAAGGCTTTAATGTTTTTAAAATACTGTTTTCTTCTAATGAACAAATGGAGTTAAATAGCCAATAAGGATACACTTCACTACAGGTGTTAATACTTGAAGATGCTGAGTGAAAATTCTTTCCTAACAGATTCGTAAGAGTTGTTAATTGTGGGGTTTTGTACAGATTTATAGTAATTTTCTTATTTAATGAAATTTTCATTGTGAGTATGTGCTCAGTTGGGGCATAGATCACGTATCTTGTTCTGGTGATGTTTGGTTCTGTGTTTGATGGGATTTCACTGTGAGCCCCCCAGCCTGGAGTGATTGCTCAAACCAAACCCTTCCCTGTCATGGTCAGGTTTAGAGTTTTGACTGTAGGTGTGTGTGGTGAGTTCACAGATGTTTCCCAGCAGTCAGAGCTGTATCACAGATTTATGTTCATTCACCTATTAAAGCATGATTTTATTGCATACCGGTTTCCACATTTTTAAAAAAAATCTTTGAGGGCAGGACATGACCATGTATCTACCCCAACAACCCCTCACCATAGCCATTGGCTGGTTCTTGGTCTCCTCCAACAAGTGGGTGCATGGGGCTGCCCAGTATTCCCCATGCTTCTTGTTTAGTAATGTGCTCAGAAATCGTAGAATCCCAGAATGGTTTGGCTTGGAAGCTTAAAGCTCATCTTGGTGCAATCTCCCCACCATGGGCAGGGATGCCTTCCACTAGACCAGGCTGCACAAAGACCTGTCCAGCCTCTCCTTGAACATTTCCAAGGATGGACTGTCCTCATGTGTTGGAATGTCCTGTCTTGCCTGTGTGCTGCCATCCCCCCACAGGTGTCATGGTGCTCTGCAGGGCAAACAAGGACTTTGAGCATCCCTTGGGCCTCCAGGCAGGAGGGCACCTGCCCAGCCTGGCCATGGGCACCTCAGTCCAGTGGGTCTTTCCCTTCAGGACACAAATAGAGGAGTGTCTCTGTGGTAATGATTTCTGTAAGTTGCTGTGTCATTTCAGCTGTGCTGCCTCTGCCTGGGCATGTGGAAGGAGAGGATGACCAGGCCTCCTCTTGTTCTTGGGGGTGTGGGCTTGAAGGTGAATACTCCAAGACTTCCCATGCTGGCTGTGAGCAAGCTCCATGTGCCAGCAGCCCTCCAGTCCTGGGATTGCTCTGGGCCACATGTGGATCTGCTTTGCCTTCTCTCCTGCCATCAGTTGGCCTCACTGTGAGGAGGGAGGTGCAAGCTGTGCAAAGCAGTGCTGCTCTCTCTGCAGGGTTTGTGGTATCTGATAAAGCACTCCAGTTCCTTTGAAGCCATCTGAAGACATACAGACACGAGTTCCCTTTCTGTCCCTGGCTGCCTGTTTCACAAAATCTTGTAGGAACTTAGTAAATCTGAGTCCTTTATCCCTCTGTAAAGGTTGGTGGAATATTGGCTGCTGGGGAGCTGGACAGATGTGCACTGTGAGCTCATGCAAACCTCCTGGTGAAAGGATGCCAAACTGAGACTGGTATTTTCCTTTCTTGAGCTTTGCTTTTCCACTTCTGCTCTTGTCTTCCCAACCAAGTGAGTTGTCATTTCAGTCCTGATGAAGTTTGCCAGTGTTCCTCTCTTCTTTCAAGCCCTGCTTTGGATGAAATTGTCTTTGATTGATAAAGGGAAGCATGAAGATATTTGCAGGAGATGTCTTCATGAATATATTGCCATTTGGGATCACCTAGCTAAGAATGGTCCTGTTCCTTGCAAATATTTCAAAGGCAGTTCTTCCTATTTTTTTTGTGTGTCTTTGAGAATATTCCTCCTTTTTTCCTTCCTCCTTTTATCTGTGATTATATTTTCTGATCAGGATTCATCACTGTCCCAAGAAATCAGTTGATGTTCCTCAGATCACCCTAAAAAACACCAAACCAGATGTGAATAACCTCCAGAGCCAACAAACCATCTCTCAAAGCAGTAAGTGCATTTCTCTGTAGTGATCTTGCACTTGTTCCAGGTATATTAATGTCTCCACTGAAGTTAGGTGGCCTCAGGCACTGAATAACTCACTCTGTGTTGCTTTTTACCTGTCCAGCACAGAGGTGGTGATGATGGGCTTTGAGAAATGTCCCGGGTGGGACCGAAGGAATATGTTTGCATCTCAAGCTGGAGCAGCCCAGATTTGATCCTGTATCGTGTCTCCCAGTCCAGCCCTTCTGTAGGCTCCTCTCCTTTGGCTGGAGGCTGGGGCTGCCCAGCAGGGCATGAATGAGAGCTGCTCTGCCTGCTCTGCTGCCCCTCCTTGTCCCACCTCCTCCTGAAACCTCTCCTCCAATCTCAGCCCCTCTTGCCTTGCTCCTGAGCTCTGCCCCTCCAGCTGGAGCCACAGGTTTATCTGGAGGAGAGGAGTCTCTGCTCTGTAAGCTGAGACCCAGGAGGAGGAGGAGGGATCTGCTGGACCCTGGAGGAGAAACGGTTTAGCTGCCCAGGAGGAGTGGAGAGAGGCAGAGCCTGGGCACCATGGCTGGATTCTCCACTCTTGGGCTTCTCTCCCTGTGTCAGCTCATAGCCACAGCATCGGCTCAGGTGAGAAACCTCTTTCATGTCTTCTGCTCAAGATAAAAAGGGTAACAGAGTGTGGTCTGTGGTACCTGTGGGATGAAAAGTGGCAGTAGGCAGGTTATTAGACTAAAGTTAAAAATGTGTTTGTACCTGTGTAGGGAGGTGTAACAACTGCTGCTTTATACTTTCTGTGAAAGTGTTGTCCTCCCATTCAGGACTGCAGTTGTGAGAGGGAAAGCCTTGGGAAAGGGCAGACCCATGGGTGTAAGAGAAACAGTTTTCTTTTACAATGAATTTGGTTGCCAGTGAGACTGATCTGATCTAGGTCTTCATCTGAATCAGAATTTCTGATTCATTCCCTCCATCAATTTTCAAATTTTACACTTATAAAACAGCATGTTTAACCCTGTTCACTTCAGACATGAAGATGTATTGAACTTCCCTGTCTGTTGCTAATATTATTGTCTGGGGAAGTAACTCCTCTGTGAGGTTTTTCATTGTGTTAGTGAGGAATTTTTGCAGCCTGCCTTGGGAATTCAGAGCTGTCCCGTCTGCTGCTAGCAGAGCTGCTTCTACAATGAAACCTTTGTTCCCTGAAGCTACAGCAAATTACTCTCTGGAGCCCTCTCCATACAGAAGTCATTTATTGGACCTTTCTTTCCTTCCCCCCAACTCAGACCTTTCCAAAATCCCAGATTTTCAAATGGCATCCTGTTCAGAGGAGACTTTGCCTTTCTCCTCCTGTCTTCACTGGTGTCTGCCAGGCTTTTCCATCACTGGGACTGTAAATTAATTATTACTGCTAAGCACTTGGCACCTATTCTCCGTGGGCTTTGCATTTCCTCCTCTGCCCAAAACGAAATGTGCCTGTAGGCATTGAGAACACTTTCCCATACAACCAAACCCATTTGCTCCCCAGTGACCAGCTCTGATTCCCAGTATAAGCCACCGGGCAAATGAGCTGGGAGCCCTGAGGATTTGCTCAAGGTTTTCCAAAGAGCCTTGCACTGGTCCAAAGCAACTCTGAGCCCACCCAGGTTGGGAGGGAGGGTCAGTGCAGATCTAGGGTTGAGCTGTAGGACTTGGCCATTGCTTTCTCATCTAGCTCACGTGTTTCTTTTGATGCAAAAATAAACTCTTCTGTCTCACATTCCCCCAGTCCCTTCAGAGAATAGGACCACAAGGCCCTCCTGGACCACGAGGACCCCCTGGACCATCTGGCAAGGACGGCATTGATGTGAGTGACGCTCGGCCGAGGGAGGGCGAGGGGTGGAGCAGAGGCAGAGCCAAAGGAGCAGAGAAGCTGCTCTTGTTCTCCAGAGCTTCAGCCTTTGGGCATACTACAGGGGTGGACAGACCTGGAGAATCAGCCTCCTCACAGAGACCTCATTTTGCAAGAGTCAGAAAAGTGAGTGGAGGTGCTGAGTGGCCTCAGGTTCTTTGCAGGATCAATCTTTGTCTCAAGGGAGAGCTCGGGACACAGCTAGTGTATACACAGGGCCCTCAGCTCAGGAGGGACATTGAGGTGCTGGAGCAGGTCCAGAGAAGAGCAACGAGGCTGGGGAAGGGAATGGAGCACAGGTGCTATGAGGAGAGGCTGAGGGAGCTGGGGGTGTTCAGCCTGGAGAAGAGGAGGCTCAGAGGAGACCTTCTCACCCTCTACAACTCCCTGACAGGAGGCTGGAGTCAGGTGGGGGTTGGTCTCTTCTCCCAGGCAACCAGCAGCAGGACAAGAGGGCACAGACTCAAGCTCTGCCAGGGGAGGTTTAGGTCAGATATTAGTAAGAGATTTTTGGTGGAGAGAGTGCTCAGGCATTGGAATGTGCTGCCCAGGGAGGTGGTGGATTCACCATCCCTGGAGTTTTTCAAGCTGAGACTGGATGTGGCACTTAGTGCCATGGTCTAGTAACCATGGTAGGGTTGGACTCGAGCTTGGAGGTCTTTTCCAACCCAGTTGATTCTATGACTCATCACCCTGCTTGCAAAGTAGAATGTTTCTTTTTTGATGTCCAAGGTCTGTATAAGGTTGAGTGCAGGGGTATGATGTGTGCTGGGGTCATTGCACGTCCAGTAGTTCAGAGAGAGGTTTATGTGATGCTTCAGAGCATCCATGTTTCTAAAGAAGCTAGAAGAAACTCAGGTATGCAGCACTGAACACTGCTCTTACTTATATTGATTTTTATCTCAACATTGTTGGCATGGTTAGCCCTAACTTACTTTGGCACATGAAATGTCAGGAATTGGCTCGTGGGTTGCCAGATGTGAATTTGTAGTGGCCCAAAAGGCAAATGAAAAGGACAACCTTTGTTTCAGCACACAGCTCCTTACTTCTCCTCCTGTGGAGGCAGAAGACTGTGTACCCCAGGACTTAATGGAGGAGAAAATCTTGTCCTGTTATTTTAATTGATGTTTCCATAGAAAGGAAAATTATTGCTTCCTTGCATGTGTTGGATAAGGACTGAATTGTATCCTGTAGTTGGCAGTGGATAAAATGAGCATCAGATGGACCTTCAACAAGACCACATCAAATGCAAAAGTCCAGGTTCCTGCTTCAATTTCCAGTTTGAGCAGTGCTTGTGTCTCTGAGCTGCTCATGGAATAGTTCAGGGCTTTTTAAAACTTGCCTGAAGTACGTTTATTGGAATTGGGCCTTTAAACAACCTTGAAAAAATCTATTCATTCCATGCAGGACATTTTCTCTTGGATAAGAAGGTTAAAAAAAAAAAGATGTATGAGTTCCCTGGTATACGGTGAACAAGGAGTGATTTGTCTGCAGCTTTCCCAGCAGCTCTGTGAGCCAGGCTGCTCTGAAGAGAGAACCTCATTGATTTCCAGCTGGTCCCTCAAAGTGTCCTTTTGCCTAGTAGGGACTGTTTTACAGGGAATCTCACTCTGGTTTTGTAGTGTGAGACGTTCAGAGCTGGTATCTCAACAGCTTCCACTGTTTTCCATGATGTGACAAAAGGCTTGAGGGGACACCCTAGAAGAAGGCAAAGGACTCACATCCCTGTTTGCAGCAGTAGCCTGTGGAGTCCCTGGAGCAGGACACTGGTGTGCCCAGCAGGCTTTGGGAAAGGCTGGCTGTGATTCAGGACAGAAGGAAAAAGAAGAGTTTGGGAGGGGTGAAGCCCTTCAGACTCCAAGTTTTGACTGCTGCAGATAAGCAATTGGAAAGAAACCCTGTTCAGTTCCTGCTTTCTGCAGGATATTTAATCCTGGAACAGCACCAGCATCACTTCTGATTGCTCTTGGAAACAGGAACCCAGGGAGATGTCAGTCATGTGAACCTGCACCTTTTTATCCACAGCTAAAATCTTCAGAAGGTTCCCCATGGGACAGGACCAGATAACAACATCTAATTAATATGAAGAACTTAGTCCTAATAAATCAAAGAGCTGAGTAAAGTATTTAAGGTGCAAATCATGCAGTCCCATGAGCTCTGTTCATGTGAGATGGGACAGGCTCCAGGATGGTTCCTGCTATTCAACACGACATTGAGTCCTTTCAGGAACTGCAGAGAAGAGTTGCAGGGCTGTGGCTGATATTGAGCAGAGTCACACAGCCTCCCTGTTTAAGGGCTGCCCTTTGTGATTAGTACACTCCAAAAAATGATGGTATATAAAATCCAGCACTGCTCTGCATTTTCCTAGTCCTGCATGGAGGGGATCATACAGATTCTTAGTATTAGTTTCAACCCTGCCACTGCAGAAACCAGAGAAGAGCAATGAGGCTGGGGAAGCGAATGGAGCACAAGTGCTATGAGGAGAGGCTGAGGGAGCTGGGGGTGTTCAGCCTGGAGAAGAGGAGGCTCAGGGGAGACCTTAGCACCCTCTGCAACTCCCTGACAGGAGGTTGGAGTCAGGTGGGGGTTGGTCTCTTCTCCCAGGCAACCAGCAGCAGGACAAGAGGGCACAGACTCAAGCTCTGCCAGGGCAGGCTTGGGTTGGATATTAGGAAGAGATATTTTGTGGTGAGAGTGCTCAGGCATTGGAATGTGCTGCCCAGGGAGGTGGTGGATTCACCATTCCTGGAGGTTTTCAAGCTGAGACTGGATGTGGCACTTAGTGCCATGGTCTAGTGACCACGGTAGGGTTGGACTCAATGACCTTGGAGGTCTCTTCCATCCAGGTTGATTCTGTGATAATTTTGTTTGTTTTCTTTGGTGATGAGGCATTTTTTAAGTTGCAAGCTGAAATTTTCTGGACCTTATATGTACAAATTTTCTGAACTCTAAGTCACTCCAGCTGGGTCATTCTCACAGATGGCTTTGGCTGAATGTGGTGTGGGAAGCATTGCTGGGTGAGTGCTGCTGAGGTGTTCAGCAGTCCCTTACCATCAGCTGTGAGCAGCGAGAGATGCAGAACATGCAGCTGAATTATTCAGGATATCTCCTTGGATGAACCCCACCAGCACAATTTCTGGAAGGTCCTGCTTTCACCCCTGCCTTCCAGTGAGAGCTGCAACATTAAATCCCTCTGAAATCTTTTATAATTAAAGCCTTTAACATGCTTCACGTTTCAGACTCGGTAACAAGCAAAATCTCTCTCTCCCAAGACTAGAAACAGCATGTTATGATCGAAAGAATTAGTGACGAGTCCTTGTGCATTATTTCTGGGGATGTAATTCCTCAAATTGCTAATAAGCAATTGTCACTTTTCAAAAATCAAGCTTTTTTTTTTTTCCCTGCTTTCTGTCTCCTGCTTTGACTTGCTGAGAAAGAGTAAACTTCCTTCCCTCTCACATAGCACCAGGAGAGCATTTCCTCTTGCTGACAGCCCTTGCCTCTAATTCCCAGTGATCTGGCATTAGGGATATAAACACTGATTAGGCTTTGGGTTCAGCTCTCTGAAGTTGTGGTGCTCCTGCAGAGTCCTGCAGGGGCCCACAACGGCAGGATCAAGGTTTAAGATGGTCCCCAAGAGCCTTTGCTGATGCTGTGCCATCTTACAGGCAAGAAGAAATGTAAGTGACTGGAATGCTGGGTGATGGAGGAGGGAGCAAACCACCTCTACTGCCATTTCCAGATGCCTTTTCATTTCAAAAGAACTGCTCCTTTCATTTCCTTGGCAAGGGACCCTCCCCACCTATGGTACTGATAACTATTTATGGTAAAGCTGTGGGCAAAGAATAGTGAGTTGCTTCAGCAAGGCAGAGCATAAAGATCCCTCTGTTCAAGGACCCTTTGGTCCACATGCTGGTTGGTCAGCAGTGCAGTACATAAATCCTCTCCTGAGCAACTCCAGGCAGCCAGTCTGGAAAGATTTGCCCACAGACTTCACAGTAAATATAGAAACATGCTATAAATTCCACTACTTTGCATACTGCCTGCTGGCTCCTAATTACCAGGCCCAGGTGGGATGGTGTTATTTCCAGCCTTGCTCTGGTAATAACCATCCTTTTTCCATATAGATTTTCTACTTCCAGGGTGTCAACATGTCTCTTCCCTTCTGCTCACACACAGTACCTGAGCCTCTCACAATATTCAGTGCTCTTATCCTAATGCCAGGAGGGTAGGATACCATCCAGACATCCCAACTGGGACACAAAGTGATTTTCTGCAGGATGAGTTGGGAAAATGAATTCCAGTCAAGTTTCTGCTGTTCACAAATGTTTGCTGCTTTTGGGGGCTAACACTAAGATACAAATTTCTTATCTAGGGTCCACACAGGTTCTTAAATGATGTCACTGCTGGTTGAGCTAGAAAAAGTGATCAAAGCCTTAAAATATCATCTCCCAAACACCTTTAATGCTGTTCTTAAAAGTTGCTTTCCATTGGAATAGAAAAAAAAAAAAAGGAGTGCTTTTGAAATATTTTATAAAAATTTAATCCAGTTTGTGCAATTGGATTAGGTGGAAATCAGCTGGGAGCTTTGTTCATTTGCTTTTCCTGTCCAGGTTTAGTCATATGAGGAAAATTGTTGAAGGCAGTTTGTTCGTTCATCCCTTTCTGGTAGTCCCCAGCTCCTGGCAGTACCAGTTTCCTACTGTGCTTTGGATACTTGGAGCCTATCCTTGTACCCTCTGTTTCATCAGGAAGGTGTTTGGGAGCCTTGATGGTCATCCAGCTTCCTCTCTGCCTCCACTTGCAGACAACCCCAAGTGCTAAGTATACCTGGAAAAAGCTGGAGGTGCTGGCACTGTTCAGGAGCACTGATTCTCTCTGAGGATGCAGATTTCACCAAATTTGCTATTGCAGGTGTGGGAAAGGCTATCCAAGCTCATCCTGCTTAGGAAGCAGCAGGATCTAGAGCATCAGCCCCATAAGACTGAGCATGGTAAATCCTGGAGTAGGCATGAAGGCAGATTTGAGCCCTCTGGCAGTTTGGAACACTGTTGGAAAAAGTTGACAAAGAGAGAGGTTCAGCACTGACACTGATGTCTTTTCTCTTTCATTTAGGGAGAGCCAGGCCCTCCTGGTTTGCCAGGCCCACCAGTAAGTATCTTCTGGTTGATACTCTCTTGTTCATCCTTTTGAGAGGGACACAGGGCATGAGTTGGCACAGGGAAAGCCTCACTTTCTTCTTCACCTGCCATAGAATTTCCAGAAGGGATGCACAGTATTGGGGATGCTCAGCACTGCTCCAGGGGACAAACACATTCTCCTGCTTCGTTGCTATATATAATAAATGAATGAAATAAGTAAAAGAAATAAAGCTTGTGTAACAATACTGGCACCAAATCATGTATACAATGGTTATTTTTGGCATTGTTTTGAGCCTACTTCAACCCCTCAGTGTGCCAAGGGGTGCTCAAAATTGTACCAGGTGGCAAAACTCTTTCCTTTGGCCACTTACCACATCCCTTTCCACCCCCTACTAAGAACAGCTTATGAGTATGTGGAAGTGAGCCAAAGCACTGAAATGAATTTAGGATTTGGATATGGATTCGTGGCAAGATTCATGTCTCTTCATGGAATTCTTCCACGTTGCGCAGTGTAAGATTAGCACATCCACAAATGAGCTTCCATCTTGTAGCCTGTGTCAATCCAAGCCACATTTATCTTGTTGTTATTTGGAAAATAATTGCCTGTTTATCTGATGTAGGGGCCAAAAGGTGCACCAGGGAAGCCTGGAGCAGCTGGTGAAGCTGGATTGCCTGGCCTTCCTGGAGTGGATGTGAGTACTTTGTCATCTCCTCTTAGACCTTTTGAATATTTCACACAGGCATGAGTGTTGTCTTGAAGTGTCTCATCAACCTTCTCTGTGCCTGCTGGAGAAGCAAAGTGGGTCCTGGGCCTATGTCTTGCATATCAGGAGAAACTGTAAGAGCTGAAAGCATCTCTGGATTGAATTAAGGAGTATGAGAACAATTTTGAGATGCATAATAGATAGGATGGCATTCTCTTGATCTTTTGGCTTTTTTTACAGGGTTTAACAGGAACTGATGGTCCACCTGGCCCAAATGGGCCTCCAGGAGACCGTGTGAGTACCACATTAGATCTGAGTCTAATGATTGTATTGATGGTTTCTCATTGCTATGTAAATTGGTGAGGTTTGGGTGTTGATTCTGATGTAAATCCTTGCAGAACACTTGGACCCTTGAAATGAAGCCCCAGGTGGCTTTGCATCAGGCAGGACATGAGATCCATCTTTCTTTCACATGGCCTTCAATGGCTTTGGGTCACCTCAGTGGTGGGAGTACCAGTGCAGAACAGCTCTGGTGACATTTCAAATATCCAACAAAGTTCACTGCAGCAGTTGACACAATTATGAAGTTTATCAAAGTGAAGCTATTTTGGCCTTTATTTGTAGCCTGAGTAGGCAGCTCTGGTATGTTTATAATTGCTTCTACTGTGTTTTAATTATTTAAACTTTGACTTTTTATTATTTCTGGGGCTGTCCATATGGTTGCATTATTAGTTGCTGTGCCATAGCATTCCCCAGCCAGGCTAGCAAGGAATAAGAGGGTTTTTTTCCACTTCCTGCAAATTACAGCTCTGCTAAGGAGCACCACAGGGATAGAGAAATAACCACCAGAGATGTTACAGATGTCCTTCAGATCATCTACAGCGATCTCCCACGCTTAGGCCTCCTTGTGACATTAAGAACTAACCATTAGTGAGCCACTCAGCACAGATTGTTATCCAGCATGGCTATTTTCCTGTCTCCCAGCTGGGAAGATGAGGCTTGTACCCACAGCTGTCTTCCTGGCCTCTTGAGCTGGAGGCTGCAGTGATGGGCTGGATGTACCATGCAGAGGTTAAAAAAGGTGGATTTTTGTAACATGTTCAGTATATCTCAGTAATCCATTTGTTGTCCCAAGGACTTACCCAAAGATCAAAAAATCTGTGAGCTGTCAAGGATGAGTGTTACAGCCATGTATACTTGGTATGTTCTTCTTCCTTTCCCATGTGCAAGGCAAAGTTTGTGTGGCCACTGGGAAAGTCAAGTGGCAGGACCAAAGCATCTTGATCATAGCTCAAAATATCTCCAACAGCTCCAAGCCTCCATCCATCCTCCCTGTACTAACCCCCACTCTTTGCTGTCCCTTGTGCCCATCTTTCTCCCCAGAGATCCAGGGCTGCAAAATCCTGGCCACTCTCAGACAGTCTGTGGCAAGAGTCCAGCACCTTCTGGGCACTGAACCCTGAGTTTTAGAATAGAAAAGCTCAGGACCACACACAGAAGACTGTGAGCAGTTTTGTGCCCCTGTTTTATGCTGGGTGACAGTGTTTGCCCATGCCCACTTTAGCACACAGCTCTTGGCTTGCAAGGTAATTGAGCAGATAATTTCTGGGCACCAGAACTTCCTCTTCAGCTGGTTAGTAGGAGCACCCAGCCAGTTACCCTGGCTGGGTTTGACATGCTTTCCCATGTCCAGTAACTCAATCTGTCAGCATGGGGCAAACTTGGGGCCTGTTGTCATTTACAGGAGCTTTTCAAGGTCACTGGTCCATCTGGAAAATTGGTTTAATTGGTCTAATAAAAACCTGGAAAAAGGACAAACCTCTAAAAGCTTTAGCACTCTCAAAAGACAACATTGTTATCCTGACTTTCATTTTTCTCCCTGTCTTTTAGAACGTAGTTCAGCCTCACAGGACCCACTGAAATAAGGTGTCTGCTTACTGCTGTGGGTTTGAATTCATGCTTAGCACTGTGATTTCTTCTCAATCAGCATATTTTTCTGAACTGGCATGTCTGACAGCAAAGCTGTTTAGTGACTTATGGGAGCCAGTTTTCAGTAATACATTATTGCCAAACATTTCTTTTCCTGTATATGCCACATGCCATCAATCCACCCATGATTCATGTCTGACCAGTGGCACAGAATGGTGCAAGCAGCACACCAAAAGGGGTTTGATCTGAAGTATCTCCTGTTGCTCTTAGCATCCATTAGCTTTGCTCCTAGTTTTGCTTACAGGCTGATTAGATTAGGTTAGATATTAGAAAAAAGGTTTTTACTCTAAGGGTGGTGAGACACTGGCACAGGTTGCCCAGGGATGTGGTGGCTGCCCCAACCCTGGCAGTGTTCAAGGCCAGGCTGGATGAGCCTTGAGCAACCTGATCTAGTGAGGAGGTGTCCGTGCCCAGGGCAGGGGTTGGGACTAGATGATCTGTAAGTTCCATTCCAACCTCTAAATTCTATGATTCTAGATCAATCCTACTTATTTTTTTAATTTGAAAAATCCTTTCTTTTTAGCTAGAAGCAATCTGGGTTCTGACCTCCATGCTAGATGCTGGTGTCCTTCTTTGGCAAATTTTCAAAGGCCATTTTTGAACTTTGTTGCTTTACAGTGTAAGCAAGAAGGAAAATGTAATTTATTATGTATGTCACAATAATCATCAAGTATTTTCTATGCTCCATGGTTGTATATTCACAAAGTACATTACTGCAAAGTGAAAAATCGTGGTAGTATTGTTTCCTAAACAAAAGAGCAAGAACATTGTTACCTGGAGATTAAGTTGAGTCAGAAAATGTTATTAAAAGTGAGATGTAAATTAGAGTCTCCTCTCTGAACTCAGTGCAGTCACCTCAGGGACTTGATGGTCTCTTACTGTACCAGGAGTGTTCACTGCTGCATGCTACACCTTACACCCTCCAGGATACCAAAATTAGGGAGCCTAAAGTGCCAACACTTAGCATTTTGGGTGCTCTGCTGAACTTCTGGCACGTTGGGCTAAGCAGAAAGGGGCAGTGCAGTTGGTGTTAGAATCAGGGTGTAAGTCAGGAGATGCCAGGAAATCAATGTTTCCTTCCCAGGAGGAGATCCCAGCTTGTCCCTTACAACTATCAGTAGTTGTAAGGACTTTCAGCCTAAAGATAAAAGTGACTGGAGGAAAACCAGTGTAACGTGCAGCAAGGGAAATGAATGAGCTGACATTCCCAGCAGAGTTGATTTTTATTGGATTACAGTTCTCTCCTCACAAGACCATTCCTAATGAGGCCTTGAGTCCTCTGTATCTTTCTCCTTAAGGTTAATAAGGGAAAATATTTCTAATCTCCTTTGGTACGCAGAACATTGGGAGAGTGCAGACGTCATCCCTGGGATCACAGTGAGCAGCAGTGTGTCTTGGGATATTTTCCACATCTGCCTTGTTCTCTTGGTCCTAGAGGTAGATACCATTTAATTCCACCTCAGGACATCATTCTCAAGATGTTTCTGTGCACTGTTTTGGAGGTGTTTGGAAAGCAGGTTTGGACAGGCAAGAGGTTGAGGAAGCCTCATGCTGTAATTGCTTTGTCCCTGTGCAAGGAGATGTCCCAGCAGAAGGAGATGTCTCTGCTTTGTCCCTGAGCACCTCCAACACTTCTTTCCTTTCTTTATTTCCTTTTTTTCCTTTTTAAGAAGAGCGAACAAGTCACTCTGCTCTCACCAGCTGCCTGCCATGACTCTTCCTCTCCTCATCACAACAACTGTCAATAAGAGTCAACTTGTTTTCCAAGGAGTCTCAGACCTGAGAGCATCAGTCAGCAACACACACTCAGTATCTCTTGGAGGTATCTTAACAGGTGCTGACCAAGGTCAACCCATCACACTGGAATTTGCCTGAGGTTTTTTTGTTCATTCTTGTTCATTTTTATATTTCCATTCACTGGGAATGGATGAGGAGCAGATTGAGCTTATGGGTCAGGCATAAAGGAAGGGACAATCTGGATGAGACTCTGAGCAACTTGGTCTAGTGGAAGGTGTCCCTGCCCATGGCAGGGGGTTGGAATGAGATAAGCTTTAAGTTTTCTTCCAACTCAAACCATTCTGTGATTCTGTTTCAGAATTACCACCTAGAATTAATTGTCAACTTTGCAATGCAACAAAGGGGCTAAGGAGATCTCTCTGTCTTCTTATCTTTAGTCAAGCAGGAACTTAACAACTTCAAGAGTGATTTAATTCTAGTCTGAGACATAAGCTCACCAAGCTCTAGTCAGGCCTAAGAGTAGGAATGCAAATTGGCAAAAGTAGACTGGGGGTTTGCCAAGGAAGCTAGTGAAGAGGCAGAAGCTGCCAAATCTTTGCTTTTGCTTGAAGAGAAAATGTATGAATTAATAAAATTCACTAGAATGAGTCCAAACTTTGCTAATAGTTTCAGATAATTTAGTCACTGGATCTACAATATGAATGTATTATGAATGAGAATAATTCAAATAGCTAAAATTCATGTTATGAACATTTAGATGTTCATGAAGCCTAATCTGAGGCCAGCTGGGACTTCCAGAAGTGTCTGTGGAGTCTTTTAGAAGCAAACGATGAAGAAAGTTGCTGGGGCCAGTTCTGAACATCCATCCCCACTGTCTTAGAGTCTTCTTTAATCAAGTAATTTATCAGGAGTGACAGAGTCATTATCCATAGCTTTCTGTCCTTGTATTTGTGGATTCAGCTGAGCATCTCCAGCTTTGTCCTGTTTCTGCAAGACACTGCTGGAGTTTCCAAGCAGAGATTGGTGGCAAGGAGAACAGGCATTGGTGACTCCCCATATGGAAGTTTCTCTTTTATCCCTGCTGATTTTTATCCTGTTTTATTCCCATAGGGTGCACTAGGACCTGCTGGGCCACCTGGACCAGCTGTAAGTACCTCCCAGAACAGCACATGTAATGAAACTGTGTAATATTGTGTCAAAACCATCACCAAGAGAAGATGGGAAGCTTTGTATCCCAAAGGGATCAAAGCCTGGATGAGTGAATATATTGTTTGAAGTGTTTCAATATGTATGTATGACCTGTTCTGGTAACACAGGGTCTGTTCTTAGACTCTGTGATGCTATGAAGCAACTCAGCTTGGGATACAGACTAACATATCAGATGCTGTCAAAATTGTTAGACATTACCTAATGTCTAATAAAAATGAAAAGGAAAGAAGAGGAGAAATAGATAAACTAGATGTTGCCTTCCTAAGTCTCTGTATCTCACTATCCTGTCACTGTGTGTTGCCTTTCTTAGAGATGTCTCATAGGTAACAGAGATGTAAAGGGAATGCAAATGATTAGAGGCAACAAAAGGATTCATCAAGACTCCAGCTCTGCTCTGATTGCAAATTATTATAACTGGGGACAGGGGAGTGCTAAGGGAACTTAAAAGAAAAAAAGATCAAGCAGTATTTTGGGAGGTTTTCTTTTCTTCCTGTATGTTCAGTTTCTGAGTGATCTTTCACTGTTTTAAATGTTTCCAGGGCAAAGGATTACCAGGACCTCCAGTAAGTATTAAGAATATGATGTCAAAAGAGTTTTAAATATTATGCCATCTTTATTGGACACCCTGAGTGCTACAAAACCACCCTAGGCCTTGAGTCCTGTGCCAGGCAGAAGGATATGGAGTTCTGCAGGGTCTTCAGCCTTGTGGGTTTTCTATCCTTGCCCTCATCCTGGGGAAACTGGCACTGGTGTAAATCCAAGGCACAACAGCCTTGTAATCCCTGGAAGTGACCAATTCTGGGGCAGGTTTTGTTTCATGGGTTCCTGGGGCATGTCAGAGCTGCCCTGTGTCTGAGGGAGGCAGACTGCCAATGCACAGTGGTGACAGCAGTGTGTTCAGTGGGGAGATGGCCCAAAAAGCAGGATGTGCATCGGTAGTCTGGATGGAGCTACTTGGAGGGACTGGGCAGAAGGATACAGCCAGACTGTTTGCTTGCCCCTGGGCTTTGGGGTGTCAAGGTCACCATGTGTGTAAAATCTCCTCTCTACTCAACAGGGACCTCCAGGACCCAGTGGCCTTCCTGGTGGAAATGGATTTCGGGGTCCTTCTGTGAGTTTCTCCTACCACTTAATTCTCATTTACTGAATGTGCTAGAACCACAGGAAAAGGAGGTTCATTAGGAAAAATTTCTGTACAGAAAGGGTCATTAGACACTGAAATGTGCTGCCCAGGGAGGTGGTGGAGTCACCATCCCTTGGAGGTGTTTAAAGTGAGACTGGACATGGCACTTAGTGCCATGTTGACATGTTGGTGTTAGGTCATAGGTTGGACTCAATGATCCTAGAGGTTTTTTCCAACCTTAATGGTTCTTTGATTTCTGGTCTCACCCCACTCCAAAGTGTGATGCAGAAGACACTACAAACCCTACAAACCCCCATGGGCTGCTGTTCTTTGTATCAGCTTATGCAGGGTCACCACTGTCAACTGGTGCAATGCTTTGCAGCCATATCTCCCTTCACTAGCTGTGAGTAAGGACAGAACAGCCACTGTCACCAGAACAGAGATTAGTTACCAGCTGGTCTGTACTTCCAGCATCCTCGACAAAGCCACTGGACAGAACAGGTCTAGTGTGGGGGAACCCATTCTGCAGAAGTGTACCATCATTTTTGGGTGCCCACAGCTCCACTAGAGAGGTATGGAGCAAGTGGAAGGTGGATGTAGGTGCAGGGATATGTTCTTCTGTCCTAATCACTATTCTTCCATATGCATCTGCTGCTCTCTTTGCAGTCACAAAAGCCTATGCAGAAGGAAAGGTGCAGTTTAGTTCCAGCTGAGATATCTTATGTTCAAAAATATTAATGGTATTGGGTAGCCACCCTTCACATCCCTTTGCATTTCCACTGAAGGGGAATTCTTACCCTTTTTCTCTCTTCTTTAGGGACCTTTTGGTCTCCCAGGATTCCCAGGGCCTCCTGGACCACCTGGACTTCCTGTAAGTTAAGATGTGCAAATAAATGTGAGAAAATTCCCAGGAGGAGTCTAAAATTTTCTTCTTGCTGCCAGAACATGCACTTTTTATTTCCTGCCATTGCCATGA